AAACTATCTTGCTGAAATGGTAAAGATTTTGGGTATTTGAAGAACTAATTAAATGAATAATTTTTATTAATACGGAGGAGATGGATTGTTTAAGTTTAGAGTTTGGAGTTAGAGATATTAATATTTGTTTACTTGTATTTGAATATTAGCCTAGGTTTGGTTTGGGAAGTCCGGGGGGTGGGGGGATGGGATATAACATCGTGTAATATCTGTGATGTATTTCTTTTTTTTATGATGAAAATAATAAAATTTTATATTGAAAAGAAGCCACAAGCAAAGACTTTAAATAGTGGTAACTTAAACTATGGTAAATTGCAAAGAAGAAAGGGAAACAAGAAGACACGTCCATGGATCTTTATTTAAATTAGAGTCTAGTTTGTTGTAAATTCCCAGCTCATTTGCCACATTTTTCTGTGCTGGTTTATATAATGTCTGACCTCTTAAGGATAGAATACAAATTCCTATTCTAGATGCCTCCATTGCCAGATGTGGAGTGAAACTTCAAATATTTTCATCTTATGTATGGTAAAGGTCTGATTATAAAGTAAGATATTTATCTCAATGTAATGCCTTTAATAACATTTTATTTTTTAACTCTTCTAACTTTGGGATTTGTGGTTTGAGTGGATATTCAATTGAGAGGGTCTTTGATATACCTAAATAATTCCATAATATCCCAGACACAGTCTATTTAAGTTAATTATTAATCAACTACACAGGATAGTTATTAAACACTATTAAATGGTGTTACTTACCATTTCTAATCTCCTTTTTTCCTCATTTGCTCCTCAAAGAAATCATTGCACGCAACAGTCAAAGCAGCAACCAGAACCACAAATTCATTAAAATCCACTTCATTATCTCTGTTAATATCAAGATCATGCATGATCTTATCAACCAGCTGGGGATCCTTTTGACACTACGAAAGCAAAAAAAAAAAAAAAAGCATACAAAATTGTTTGAGGCCTGGGAGTTGCATTAGAGATTTCTTTTTAGTTCCTTGAGGCTATGTATATGCTTTTCTCTATAAGCCGTAGGGAATTTTTATACGAACAGTGACATTTACCATTGTCACAACAGCGTCTACAGCCTGTGTTTGTCTCAGTAGATGTCCCCAGTTTTAATATGCATACATTTTATTTTTAATCTTTCCAACAATTTATTATCAAGAGATGAGGAAAGCCCCCCAATCTTTTGGCCTTCTGCAAAGGGGCCAAAACTTGGCTGTGTAGTCTTGCGTGGAGGACACAGGGACGCACACACTATGGGGTGGGCTGACTGGCCCCATCAGAAACCTCCCCCCACCATACTAACAACTTCTAATTCACCATTTTTGAATTCTTCATCTTTTGAAATTTTTATAATGTATAATTTTAATTTTTTTAATCCTAAATTATTCTGATTTTAATATTTATTTTTACTGATTATATTGTACACCGCCCAGAGTCTCACTCTATTAAGGAATATAATAAACTAACTAACTAACTAACTAAATAAATAAAATGTTTCTCCTACTTCTATCATTTAGTTAAATGAATTAAAATCCTGGCCCCACCTCTAGGATGATGCAGCCCTGTACATTTTGTGTCATCAACCTTCTCACTGCAGCCGCTCTTTCTTCTCTAAAACTTTAACTGGGGTTCTGGTGTCTAAAATGTTGCCCACCCTGTGTTAAAGTCATAACATGCAGGATTGTGATTTTGTTTTTAGCACATAATGTAAAGGGGCAATTCTGATCAATGCCACTGAGCGCAGGTAGGAAGGATAAAATTCCCACTATCCCTCACCTCTTGATTCATGAAATCCCCACCAGTACACACATAGGATCCAGGTTTAAAAACAAATGTAAGTGATTAAAATAAATGATTTTCTTGATTTCCCCCACTCTTTTTAAACAACCTCTCTTCTCTGGGAGAGCATTGTGCAAAAAAAAAATGTCTAGAGAAGAAGGTTGATCTTCCCAAGCTGGTCATATTGGTCATAATTGGACACTGTATATTTAAACGTTTGAAAAGATATCAAAGAGCAGTTGCTCACTAGGGTATGACTTAACTTTATAATCTAGTTAAGATCAAAGAAAGGAAAATTGAAGCTCACAGCACAGGTGGGCTTGTCCTGAACCTAAATATAGCATACAGTTTATTACTTTTGCCTGACGTACAAAATTGTGCAGCCAATTTAAAGTCTGAGAAATCACCCACTCAGGAAATATCTTAGTAAGTTGTTACATAGGACAAAAAAAAAATCCAATCCAAGAAAAGTGATGATTGATTTTTTTTATTCTTCTTTCTGCTTTTATAGGGCTGCAAAATTTTAAGATGACATTTTTTTCTTCGAATAAATAGGTTACAGGTGCCTGTTGTAGATGACATTTGTCTCCTTCTTCATCTCTGTAGAACAATGTTAGTAAAATACTACTTAGGAACAAATAGAGCAGCAAAAACCATATCCTCCCCAGAAATGTGTTCTGTAATGCAGTGGCCCTTAACCTTTCCAGCTCAGTGGATTGGCGGTGGCAGGGGTGGAAGCGGTGGTGGTGGGGAGAGAGGACATGGTTTCACATACAGGCATGCTCCACTTTCACATGCACTCGCCCACCACTTCTGTGGCCTGGTTCTTAATGGGCTGCTGCACAGCACCGGACCGTAGACTGAGTGTTGGGGATCCCTGCTGTAGTGGGAGCTTTTCTTGGCAGTCGCTTTGTTTAGCACAGATAGCAAATTATATTTAGAGCCTATACATTTTCTAATCAATTTGTGAGTCATAGATTACCCAAGTTGTGTTTTGAAGAGCAGTTGTACCTTATGCTTCAGCTGCCCAACTTTCAAATGTTATCTCACAATATGGATTCTCCATTCAATTCCCAGACCAATCCGATCTAAAGGCCAAGGAAGCTTTCAAACAAAGAGTCATTGATGCCCAAGATGATATTGCATCATTTAAATATGTTCAATGACTCAGCATAAGTTAACCTCCCCGTTAGAAAAATATTTAACAACTTATATCATATGCCTCAACATCTCGGAAGAGCTTTTCTAGAGCTCATTTTGAAGAATTAAGCTCCATGGTAAGACATGGGAGATTTCGTGGAGTTCCATTTGAAGAACGACTGTATTTGTGGAGCACCAGCCACTGAAGTCATTGGGCATATTCTTTTTGGCTGCAAACTGTATTTGGCAGAAAGGGCTACTTATTTAGATTCTTATTTAAAAACTAAAAAATATTGGGGAACTTACTTTTTGCAGGGAATGAACCTGCATTTCATTAGTAAGACCACACTCTTTATATCAAATGCTATTTCGAAAAGGATAGAATATTTAGTTCAGATGGAGTTAACTGCAAGGGTAAGGACTTCCTATGAACATGTCCTATTGTTTTCTTTGTATATATTGGTATTTCTATATTTCTATTAATTTTATATTTTTAATGTGCTCAAATGACTAAATCGATAGTTTCTAGTGTATTCTGTGAATGAAATGGCATACTGATTTTAGCTGTTGTTCATTGGCCTATTCCTGGGTCATCTTTGATAATACTTTACATCTATGTCTTTTGAAATTCAGATGCAATTTTTTAAATGTATGGAACAGCTCTGGGCTTTTTTTAAATGTATGGAACAAGCAGTGTGATATAAGGAGTACAAAAGGAGGAATTGTTGAGGAATTATATTTTTGAAAATTCTACTTCTTCTGAAGGCATGTCTGGCTAATTATATTTTCATCTTTAAGAAGAGAAAAAGGTATGCTGGAGAGATAAAATGCACATCAATAGCTAAGGTATGACATCATGTGGAGAAGCCATCACAAACTGTTGGTAGTTTACCTTAGAAAAAAGCTTTGGAAAGATGTTAAGTTCTCAGAGACTTGGTAGTCATTATTACACCAAATACCTCTTTCATTTGAGATATGTTTGCATTCCTAGCAACCAATAAGATAAAGACCTGGGAAATAATATGATGTTTAAGATGTCCACAATTGAATTTAGATTTGGAAGAAAAGGAGGAAGGATGGGAGGAAACTTCAAAAATTGCTTTTAGGCCAGCAAGGGCAACTGGAAATACATTGGAAAACAACAGTGCCTATAGAACACGATGGAGGAGTAAAAGGAATTTAAAATGGAGAAATGTTAAATAGGAAGAAAAGTACAGCTAACAATCCCCTGCCACTTTTGCTACAGCTCATTTAATAAATAATTCTATCATCTATCTATCTATCTATCTATCTATCTATCTATCTATCTATCTATCTATCTATCTATCTATCTATCTATCTATCTATCTATCTATCTATCTATCTATCTATCTATCTATCTATCTATCTATCTATCTATCTACTGTGTTTTCCCAAAAATAAGACCCAACTGGAAAATAAGCCCTAGCATGATTTTTCAGGACTCTTGTAATATAAGCCCCACCCCAAGAATAAGCCCCAGTTAAAATTGTCAGCCAGATAGATGCATTTAGTACAGTATTTTCCCCAAAATAAGACCTAACCAGAAAATAAGCCTTAATGTGTCTTTTGGAGAAAAAATTAAATATAAGACCTGGTCTTATTTTCGGAAAACATGGATATCGATCTACACACACACACACACACACACACACACACACAGAGAGAGAGAGAGAGAGAGAGAGAGAGAGAGAGAGAGAGAGAGAGAGAGAGAGAGAGAGAGAGAGAGATTTAATTGTCAGTTTTGAATTATTATTCATGTTAAATAAATAAATTTGGCATTGGTATACAAGCCATTATCAATTTATCAGTATCAAGATATTGAAATATTGGGGCTTAAAAAAAAATGCAGCTAACTAACCTTAGTGTTCATTTCTGTTTGGAATAGTTTATCTGCAAACAATTCAGGAAAACAGATTGTTTTCATTTAAATAAATATTTATTAAACTAATGGCCTTCAGACTAAACAACAAACTTCTAAAATCTCTACATGTGGCATAGGTCTATGAGCTGTACTTTCCCACATTGATCTTGAATCACCTGAAATTGTATCTTGTGACTACTTTACAAAATCAACCCAGTTGTCTTCAATCCCATCTCTAGCAACAGTGAAGGATAAAACCACCTGCTTTGTTCCTCCTGAGGATCCACCAAGTGTAACTGGTGATAATTAAATATTACTATGCTTTTCTGTAATGTCAATTACAGAATCGGTGCCACCACATTCTTTTATATGATTGCTTAGAAGCCTCCAAATCAACAAAAATCTCATTAGAATCCACCAAAATCCAGTGAGATGTTATTGAGCTGTCATAATTTTCCAGATGTCTCAATTGAGTTCTTGCACAATTTTGACATTCTTGCAGAAGACCATTAAAATTTCATAAGATTTCAAGAGTCTTAAGAACTCATAAAGAACTTTAAGAACGGTTATATTTTTCAAGGCTTGAAATGCCTCATGTAACTATAGTTGATCTCTGGTTGTTTTTTTTTAAATTGTAACAGTTCTTTTAAGCACATGACATAAAAGACATCAACTTTTTATGTCATCAGCATAGCAGAATTATTTCATCAATTCCGCTGAGAAACCAACTGCCTTTAGTGGTGTTCATTTCAATAAGATTCCTGAACTATTCACCCCAGAATAAGAAGGTTATGAATAGGCTCTGGAGCTTGTTTTTTTTTTTGTCTCTTTTGAGATCTAAGAATGGCCAGCATATGAATTCACAAATGTGTTTGGCCAGTACTCCTGGAAATAAAAGGCTGGACTATTGTAGGTGATCTTGATAAAATCCAGTTTATTTCTATCTGAATTTTAAAAGTATGTTCACAGATCTTACTCTGATCAGCTTTGTACAGTGAAATACAGATTGATGGCTATTTGGGATTGGAGTTTTTGCATTATACATCTCCAAGTTTAAGACAATATTGCTCCTAGAATCTACTGCATTGGCATTTAGTCCTAGCAAATACTTTATTTTTCCAATCCTCTTAATGGTATTCATATTTGTTCTGAAATTATGAATTTTAATTCATTTTAAAGAAATTTCTTAAAAGTTTATTTTCTTCTATGTTGTTATCTAATTAATATTGTATTAAGCATAATCTTCTTCTATAATACTTCCAATTCAGAGTAAGTTTTAATATTAGGCTTAAGTAATGCCATTTTGTTACTGAGCTTTATCCAAACTGGTAGCACATTACACAAGCACGATCTCAACCTATGATTTCCCCATTCCCAAATCAAAAAGATGATAATTGTGCTTTCCATAATAATGAAACCAAGATGCCAGGCTATATAGTTTTAAGAGCTAATTCTCTTGGAAGTGGCATAAGATTGCATGTCTATAATGTATAAACTGTTGCAGAAAATTACTTATCTGGAAGACAAATGTTTTTCAAGCATCAACTAATAGCTATTCCTCCTCCCCAATTTTTATTTATAATATTGTAAATAATCAACAGAATATACTGAAGAAGAATTTGTTCTTACCGCAAGGAAATCAGTAAGTTCGCTGGTGAGAAGTTGTTTGAGTTCTCCTTTATTGAGTTTGTATTTGTCCCCTTCTTTTGCAGAGTAATGATGAAAGACTCTGATTAAGGTATCCATTGCACCCTCCAGTTGTGATGGCATACTGCAAAAGGATTAGATGCTAATGGCCAGCTTTCACAAATGCTCCAAAAAGGCAATTATTCCCTTTTATGCAAACAAATAAACACCCTGCTCATCAGAAATTCATTAGCATAGCATCCAACCTCTCTGCTGCTTTGATCAAGAGCACACAGTTGTTGTTTACCATGCTAAGTTAGGAGAACAGTTTCTAAAGATGAATCCTGGAAGATACGTTCATGCATTGGGTTCCTCAAATAGGGCAAAGCAGGCTACACAAACAAGAGTCCCTAAAACAAATAGGACTCCCATCTCCTCTTAAAATTGGGAGTAAATTGTCATTTTCAATGGAAGAAAACAGGGATACAAGTGTCTACAGGTTGTCAAATGACCACATTACTAAATCAATGCAATTCACTTGTTTTTGTTCTGATTAAACCATTTTTGGAGCGTCAGCCCCAAAAATGCAACGCAGGGATAAACAAAGGAAAAGTTTAAATACAACATTGAGGAGTTCTCCTTCCTACCTGTTTCAGATAAAGCGGTTCCAAACAAGTACTATCTCCAGCAGGTACTGTATAGATTCTCTTTGGTTTTATCCTGAAAGTCCCACCCAACCTCTTCTATTTCCCCAGAGCTTCTAGAAGGAAATCACCAATGACAAAAAGCCCCAACTCTCAACTTTCGCTTTATTTGTGACTGCTTGTTAACTGTCAACAGGTGTTGGTATCTTTCCCCCGGAGCCCTTCCGTAGGCTGGTTGGCTTCCCTGAGCACTACGTTAGGAGCTGAGAGCAGAAAGGCTAGCAGTTCATTAAGCTACAGAGGTCGGAAATCCAATTAAGTTGCTAGGAAGCCAGCCCCTTGGGGAAACACAGGAACTGCAATACTGAACAAGAGGATACAATGAATTCTCTTATTATTTATGGAATTTATTTCCCACCCTTTCCCTAAGAGCCTGAGGACAGCATGCGTAATCAATCCTTGTAAATTTCTTTCCACATGGTTGCATCTACTTGGGGACAACAATGGTTCCATATGGGCTTTGCAAAAGGTGTTAGGAGAGGTGAGAGACAGGGCAAGGGGAAAATAAGCATGGCCACTAAGTTAAGTAAAACATACTCTTCAATCTCTTCTCCCTAAATATGTTTAATACAAAGTAAATTTACATCTTGGATGATACATTTGGTTTATAAGAGTCCTGCAGTATATGAGACTCTAGAAAGAGTACAGAGAAGAGCAACAAAGATGATTAGGGGACTGAAGGTTAAAACATAAAGAACGGCTGCTGGAATTGGGTATGTCTAGTTTAATGAAGAGAAGGACGAGGGGGGACATGATAGCAGTGTTCCAATATCTCAGGGGCTGCCACAAAGAAGAGGGAGTCAAGCTATTTTCCAAGGCACCTGAAGGCAGGACAAGAAGCAACGGATGGAAACTAATCAAGGAGAGAAGCAACCTAGAACTAAGGAGAAACTTCCTGACAATTAGAACAATTAACTAGTGGAATAACCTGCCTCCAGAAGCAGTGAATGCTCCAACACTGGAAGTTTTTAAGAAGAGACTAGACAGCCGTTTGTCCAAAATGGTATAGGGTTTCCTGCCTGAGCAGGGGGTTGGACTAGATGACCTCCAAGGTCCCTTCCAACTTTTATTATTATTATTATTATTATTATTATTATTATTATTATTATTATTATTATTATTATTATTATTACTACTACTACTACTACTACTACTACTACTACTACTACTACTACTACTACTATTATTATATAAAAGCAAACAATCATGGTAGGCCCTTGGGTATCCAGCTAACTATCAATATGAGTTCGGATATTCTTTCTTTTTCAAATCAAATGGACTAAATCACCATGTTTTTGGTTTTATAAAATAGAATATTGTCACAAGTTTAACTTGCTAGAAGGATGGTGTCACTCTTTACCAATTAACAAAAAATAAATATCCTCAGTATATTGATTTGAAATTTAAAATTTATTGTAGATACATGAATGTTTACGGGTTAATTAAATTAATTAATTAAAATACTTAATGCTTCACAAGACTAGGTGGGCAGCCTCTGGGACCCAAAATATTATTGGAAATATGTGCCCAATCCCGTACCTGTCTAAATGCATTGAGTAAGAAAAGAATGCACTTCCTGCTGCATTTCATGTAATAAAATCTCAGATAGGACCCAAGCACAGTCACCTCTATTTGTACTTTCCACACTGTAAAAAATGACAATAGTCCTTTGATTCTAGTGAACATTAGTTGGGAAAGGCAGAACTATGGTTGAGGAATGGAACTCTGATCATAAAGTATGTGGATTTTTTTTAAAAAAAGGATTACTTTACCTGTATTTTTTATTATTAAGCACATTGCTATCACACTACATTCAAAAAGACTCTCAAGGGCTTACATAGAATAAAAAATATAATTTAAAATACTGCACCCATGATAAATCTAAACTAGCTGGCTGCGGAAATTGGGACTTGAAGTCCACACGTCTTAAAATTATCAAGTCTGAAAAACACTGATCTAAACATTACCCTCAACTTCATAAATGTCAACAATAAAACAACTTTGAGCAAGGAGCCACAATAATTTTAGTCCAGAATCCTATTGTGCATTACAACTAGATATTTTCTTTGGAGTGTGTCTCCCCCTTGTGTTTTGATACTGGGCAATTTTATCTCTAACTTTTGCAGTAGGAAAGCATTTAGAACAGGGATGTCCAACCTTGGGATCTTTAAGACTCGTGGGCTTCAACTCTCAGAATTCCCCAGCCAGCCATGTTGGCTGGGGAATTTTGGGAGTTGAAGTCCACAAGTCTTAAATTCTAGGAGTTATGGTCCCAGAATTTAACTCCACAAGTCTTAAAAGTTGCCAAGATTGGACACGCCTGCTTTAGAAGAAGTTTGTTGTTTCTTGCAGAGAACTGAAATATATCCACATACTTGCCCCAAGCCATTGGCTAAGTCTTTCAGCCAGTTATAATCACAAAAATAATCAGAAACTAGTGGCTTAAATTCATTCCCTCGTGACTCTATTTCAAATATTTGAAATATATCCGCTATGTATTCAAGATGGACAGTGATTAATATTTATATGTTATTTATATGTAAGGATGTAGGTTTATACATATGCTGTATATAGCATGTTTAAATGTGTGTTATGTAAGTGTACATTTTTGAGAGCAAGCAACAAAATTTCATTAATGTGTGCCAATGTGCCCACAGTAAAAAGTGACAATAAAGGTTATCTATCTATTTATTGCTATAATCAAGTGGAATAAAGTAAAATACCATTTTGTTTAAACAAAGAAGATGTATGATGCAGGAGCGTTCACAGGAGAATTGGAGATGGCAGTCATAACTGTATAACCATAACCACAACCCACCTAAGATGGAGTATCCATCAGTTCAAATATGGCTGATTCTGAGTCTTGTGAATGTTTATAATTTTGATTGCATGGTTTTTAAAGGGTATTTTACTGATGATCATTTTTATTGCTAATACTAATTTATAGATTGGCTTAACACATTGTCAATTGTTTTTAATTGTTCCCTATTTTAGGGTGGAAATAAATATGAGGTTGAAAAATAGCATAAAGAAATCATTAATATAAAGGAACGAAACAATCTAAGTGGTTTTGTAAATGCTACATAATAAAAACAGAAAATTAAGCCAATGAAGCTATTACTGGCATTGTAATAAAGTAGTATTGTGGAATTCCATGGTTGTGGCAATGTATAAATTGATTAAATGAATGTTTTGGGATGGAATGTTTTTAAAAGACCTGATGTTCAAAACATAATCAGAAGAGGGAGCCCATGACATATTATAAATAAATTGTAGATGGGCAAAATCAGGCTAGCCAGGTTTTGACAATGTTGAATGACTTCTTTTTCTTTTCTTTTTTAAAGAACCACATGAGCAACCTTGGGAAAAATAATGTTATTGATGCTATTAGTAAAGCACTGAGAATCAGTAATCAAGTATAAAAGTGCAACAAATTCAACCTGTGAATCCTAATTTAACTTTTCCCGGCCTTTGTAATAATAGGCACTAGGTTAAGTTAATATTTGCTTTGTTACTTCTTTCATATTTAGCTAAACATTCCTACCATCATCAGGAATATTTCTGGGTAATTTTATAATCCACCATAAACCGGATTCCAGCCTATTAAAAGAACAATAAAGAGTTTATAAATCAGTGGCAGTTATGTTAAAGACATAAAGACCTAATATTAAGAAACCATAACAGTCTTGCTCTGCAACATTCTTACCTCTCATCTAAGTAAGGCTATAGCATCTTCCTTATTTATTTCAGAAGTCTCTCTTTTCTCCCTCTAAGTAGGCATAACATTGCAGTTGGATATTAGTGTTACATAACATTGCTAGGACACAAAACAGGATTAACTTGGCTTATAAGCATGAAATTATACACTTGGAATGATTTAACCTATACTAAAGTACAGTCCTCACAGAAAGTTTTCGAGTTTGGTTAAGTAAAAAAAAAAGGGGGTGGTGGTGGTCAAATATGTTTAGTGCTTAAAGCAAAAAAACCCTTTAGATATTCTCAGGGCTGGTTTGGAAAGTCAACAACAAACTATTTTTGCAGGTGTCAATTCAACTATAGGGACATATTCATATAGTTAGTATTAGTCACGCTCAACTTAGCAAAGTCCTTATTTTCAAGCTCAAGGTCAGTTTTTTTGGAATAATCCACTGCAGGTGCCAGGTTATTTGCATGTATACTACACCACATCATATACTTAGGCTAGTAAGGTTTGCAAATATAAATATAATATCAAAATAGCTATAATTAATTCTTCAGCTACAGGGATGCATATGCAGAGCTTTTGGAAAAAAGCAAATGCTCAAATATACTTGTATTTCTTCTTGCTAATCATTATATTTAAGTACTAATCATAACTGGTTAATTTTACAGTAATTAATATTTAACTAAGAAAACTAATTCAATAGTGTAGGAATGTAATCAGCCACCTACTCTTAATGG